TACCTTCCATAAACACGGTCACTGTGACCGCCTCCGGGAGAGATTTGCTGCCATCCCGGCAATGAGAGTTCGCAACTCCTGGACAAAGTCCACCAATTCCTTGTTGCCCTGTCGGGCAAGGAAACGCGATCACACGCGATATGCGTGATTAGGCGGCGAGAACACTCGTGAGAGCTGTAATTTCAGCTCCGCCCACGAGGGAAACGCAGCTCCAACCGAAGTGCCGCACGACAGTGCCCATTCTCGCGCTCGACCACCGAGCTTGGAGATGGCTAACGCCGCGCGCTGTTGCTCGGTCTGAAGCATGACGGATGCGATGGCCATGTCGACCTCTCTCACCCAGAGCAGGAGATTCCCTCCATCCTTCCCCTTGAAGACCTTAACGCTCACCATGAGCGGCTTAGCGCGGGCAAAATCATCCGTTACTGACGGTGGCGCCATAGATGCAAATGATGCAGACAACTTCTGCTGCAAGTGCTCTATCAGCGCATTTTTGCAATTTGAAAATGCCTCTAGACGCGCATCCATGGCCTAGGGGCCTTTTGCAGCAAGGAATTGCGCGCGCTCAGGGCCAAGCAAGGACATCAGCTTGTTAAGACCGTCCTGCACGCCCTAGTGCAAAGAGAAAAATTGTTCCATCCTCACATAGGATCAATCTAAACGACTTAGGTGTAGATTGACTACAAGTGCTATCAAGTGCGCAAACGTATCGTAAGACACTCGGTCTGGTAGACTGGAAGTCATCGACTTCTCTGCAAACAGTGAAAGGGTTGACATTGGCTAGCCGCTCGACCCCGGTGTCAGCGGGTCGCGAGGAAGAACAAGCCCGTTCACGCAATCCGTTCTCGTCGAGAAGAATCCGCGGCGGACAATGCCGACTTGATCGATTGCCATCCGGTGAATCGCACTGACTTGAGGACAAGGCCCTTTGCGATCGGGACTTCGCTGAGCATCATGCTGAGATCGCATACTGCTGTGCGGAAGACCTCGGAGTCCTTCGGTAGGCCAAGTACAAAGTTCATAATCATGGGCTGCCAACACCCAGATGGTACCGGCAAACTGGTTAGCGGCGCCGCCGCATTCGGAGAGGGTTCCCCCTGTGACACGTCTCACTCGTGCGCATATATGTGCTCGTTTATTTATATAGCTTGTGTCCCCAGTAGTGGTAACTCACAAAGCTGCAGGCCTTCTCACAACCGAGATGACAACTACATGAGGTGTCGTGGGCCTCATACAGGATACGGTATTTCAAATCCTCATCGTGAGGAAGCACAACCCGTGGCGTATCCGTCGAGTCGGTGCTATAATTCAGCAATCCATCATTCAATGAATATTGGTGCAACTGTGCGCGCAGTCGCGACGACAGTTTGTGATCCGAGTTTTCAAACTCCTTGCTCCGGAAACCGGTAGCAGCGTTACAGAGATACCATCGTACGCGGCGCGGATAAATCCGTCACGGACGACGTCACTGTTATGAGATGAACAAGCTCATTATCTGGCATGCGTAATAACGCATCAGCCAGAGCGTTTTGCTTTTATGGCTTATACTTCACCTCAGATTTATATTCTGCGAAGAAGAAGAGTCACCTGGCCATCCTCGCTAGAAATGAGGCGACCGAGTCGCAGTGCGTCGTGACACATGATCTGTGTAGATCACGAACGATTCGGAGCCGAGCAAGTGAACCCTGAACTTGACAAGTGCATACTTCATCGCAAGTACTTCCTTGTCATGAACTGGGTAGTGCTTCTCTGCAGCCATGAGCTGACGAGATTTGAACACAATTACCCAATCTCGCCCCTCGGCGTCTGCTTGCAGCAGTATGCAGCCGATGGCAAAGTCCGAAGCGTCACAGACGACACTAAAAGAGCGATCGGGGTCCGACAACCCCAGTATTGGTGCATGAACGATGCTTACTTTCACCCTGTTAAAGCCTCCCAATGCTCGGTGTCCCTACACCATTCCCTATCCTTTTTGAGGGGATTCGACAATGGCTGTGCCATTTGCGCGTAATTTGCTCTATACTGGTGCAAGTAGTTGGCGAGGCGAAGCCGTTTGCGCAAGTCTTTTGGTTCTTTGGAACCGGCCAGTCCACAGTGGTCTTGACCTTAGCGGAATTTGCTTGAAGGCCACGCTTCCCAATGAAGCCCATACAAAGATGTTTTTTAGCGCTGAAGATGCACTTATCTGCATTAGCATACAGCTTATTCGTGCGCATACACTTGAGCACCGCTCTTAAATGGACGATGTGGCTCTCCACATCCGTTCCCCCCGTGCTCTGCACGACTGTGCACGATAATGGCCTCAAAGTATGTCTGTGCAAACGCCCTGTGGGGCCTGAACAAAGACGTCACGGAACGATTTAATGTTGCTGATGCATTTAACAGACCTTGGGGCATCGCCAGCCACTCCCAGAGCACCCCGCACGAAGTACTCACCGCTGTCAGCAGAATATCACTCGCTCTCATGAGCAATTGGTAATAACAATCGACCAAGTCGGGTGCGCTGTACTTTATACAACCAGCCATATTGTTCTGGAAAAGGAACTGGCGTATGTGCCAAAATGGAGGCAGCGTTCAGCTAATTGTAAGCGTGAGCGATACGCCACTTGCCGTTCAGCTTCTGGACGCAGAACGTGGGTGTCGAGTGGAGAGACTTTCTCTCACGCACCATTTCTGCGTCATGTTTTGCACGAAAAAATGACGTCAATGCATTGGGCAAGAACTATCGGCGGGTTGCACAGTATTGGCTCTTCGAACCAGGTTTTTCTCATGGCGCACATCTCGGTCTGGAGGTAGGACCGACGGTGAGTCTTTGGAGACGACGTCCTGCGTCTTTACGAAATGATATTACGGATCCCAAGGATCCCGCAGGATCGACGATTCAGTCCGTGCGTTCAGCACCCTCTTAGTGTTCTTCAGGACAGCTTCATCCAGAAGCGACGTCGAGTTAATTGCCTCGTTTGGTCTTATAATGACCACATCGGCTGAATGCTTACCTTCAAGGCACCGCCAAACTCTTCGAGCACATCTCCTTCAGCCCAAGAAGAGCGTCCACGGCGGGAATAGCCTCGAGGGTGACGTCGCCATCTTTCTCTGCCGTCATAACATTGACAAGGATATACAGCTGTGCGCTATTGTCTAAGGTAGACACACCCTGGGTCAGGGTCGACGCCCTGCGTCTTGCAGATAATAAATCTCATTTTTTATAGAGGTTTTACGTCGCATCGAGAGCAGTGGGAGCCCTCGGTGTCGTCCAGTTTCTTCAGTCCTTGCTCCATCGGAGCTTGATGTTATCAACAACATCCGACGAAGAGCTGCAATTTCCGCAGTCTTCGTCTAGTGGATAACGTGTCACTCCACGCGCAACAGAATAGCTTCACCCTTAACACTTCGACATCGTCCGACCATGCCGTTCTTGACACGCAGTAACTGCTTTGTAACGTGAGTAGTGCTCAATGGGTTACGTGTCACTCCACGTGCATGACAAAGGTCTC